TTAATGTATTAAATATATTTTTTCCAACTTCATCCTCTTGCAACTTCATAATATCTTTTTTAACAAAACTTAATATTAAGTACAATCTCCTTATTAATTGATCCCATTAAAGAGTAAATATGAAATTTTAATATATAATAATTGTGTTTTTATAAAATTCAATAATTTTAATATAATGTCAAATGATATTAAATAAATAATTACATATAATTCAGGCTTAAATCTCACATCGTATTGTTGGTTACCATATCATCGTAGACAGTCTTGAAATGGTAAGTTGTTATGTCATTTTAGATTAAAAATGGCAAAATCATATTGTTAAGACCCTAGACTTTCCCCATTTAGTGCGTGAGCCCCCAAACAAACAAAAAAAAAAAAACGTAAAAGCCCTCAAACATCATTATTTATGCAAATTAACTCTCATAATAACGGCAATTCGTGTGTGTTGTCACGTGACCATAACGGCTACTAGTTTTTGGCTTGCGTGGCACCTTCTTTCCAGATCACAACCATCATAGATGAATTTCGGTGAATTATCCTCGTGACAACTAAAGAAATTGATTAATTTCAATATAATCCATAAACCTTTTATATTTTTAAAAAAATTAATCCTCGAATTTCAATTTTTTATTAACGAATTTAAAATTGAATAAAAAGTATGTCATTTTTTATTTTGTGCATTATTCTTGAGGATATTTAGTAGAACATAAAAGATAACTTGCTTAAAACCGCATTCTTTTCTCATAAATTTACTTGTCAATTGACCTTTTTTCTCTATGCATCACTTCTTCCATTGTCATCACTCATCACCTCAATAAGAACAATACAATTTCTCCTCATTCTCATCTTCAATAGTGTATGTTGCCCAAAAGGCAAAAAACTCCAGTAGTGTCCTAAGCTCAAACAAAGGCTGAATACTAGTTAAGAACTACCCAAACTTAAACTCAAACCAAAAATTAAAATTAACCTTAGCAAGTATAAATAATAGAAAATAAAAAAAATAAAGAGAAAAAGAAAACAAAAAATTGTATGCCCATTTGTTTGCTCTTGTTTTAGGAATTACAAGAAACTTTCCATAATTTCTACAATCCCTAATTTCAAAAGAAGTTTTCATGGAGAGAGACGAAGCCTTTGAAGGAGTTTATGGTTGATATATTTCTTGTGGAAAACAGAAAGGGCTCACATCTTGGAGAAGAAGATGAAAATGGCCAACAACGATCGAACCTTGTTGGGGTATGAGTTCTTGATTTGCAGAGTGAGGAAGAAAGAGGAATGGCTTTTTCTTCTATAAGCTTGCCATGTCAGTGATGGACTTGAGAAAAAGGTGGAAAGAAGGTTCCACACAAGCCAAAAACTAGCTACCATTGGAGTAATTTAAAAAAGAGAGTCGCGCTAATTTGACGCAAGCAAAAAATTAGCTACTATTAGAACATTGGAGCAGTTTAAAAAATGCAGAGCCTGGCTCTTAAATTTTTTTTCCCCTTCTGGGGCAAAAAGGATACAATTTTCGCCTCAAAAGAGGCAAAAAATTTGCCTGCTTGATATGTATTGACATTGAAAAATCAATGCTTGCACACCCACCTCAGTCATTGGATTTTAAGTCCAACTACTGATATTTTTATTTTAAATTTGTTTTTAATTCAATTCTTTTGTTTTGAATGAAATAATATTGATAAGATTTTTGAGAAATCTTTATTTAAATATATGCATAAAAAAAATAAATGTTTTATTAGGTGTTTTATTTTATGATTAAATATATAAAAATATAAATTTATATAAAATAATATTAATTTTGATGATGTGCCATTAAAATGAATTTTTTCATAGTTCCATATTGTACATGCTCTTACGATCACGTGATGGCACGGACACATGCAAATTGCCCTCATCATGAGGGTTAATTTGCATAAAGTCCTGATGTCCGAGTGCTTTTACTCTCGTTTCTTTGTTTGGGGACCCAAGCACTAAAATGGAAAAAGTTCAAGGGTTTAGTAATGTAGATTTGCCTTTAAAAATTGTACAATTTAGTTTCCTTTTTCAAACCCACTCCGCACACTTGGCGCCGTTCACGACCCAATCCCGCCCCCACCTAAACCAACGGCCACGATCTCCCATCTGCCTTGTCTCCCCAAACTACCCTTGTAACGTTACCATAATCCACGACACATGAGAAATCGCTGGAGAAACGGAGTTTTGAAGGCCTGAAGACATACTGGAGACGCTTTTTCTTGTTCTTTCTCTTCCCCGAATTTCTCTTCCATTGCGCCGTTCTTTGATGGCGGATCTCTCTTTCACTTGATTCGGCTTCCTAGTTTTCAGTTTTCTGAACCTGATTCGAGTTGATCAACGAGTAGACGGTTTCAGAGATCGAATATGCTCGACGGATTACTAGGTCGTGGCTTCGCCTCGAAAAGGTTTCTCCACTTTCTCTACAGTAGATTTTGTATTTGACTAAATGCATTTTGGAGAAGGAATCGGTGAATAATGATTTGGAGGTATGGATGATGATTTTGTGGTTTTGTGCAGTAAATCGTTGATTAAAGTAACAAAGAATCGGATCAATGTGATACGGCGGAAGCGGAACGCGACGCAGAAGTTCTTGAAGAAAGACATAGCTGATCTGCTTGCTAATGGCCTAGATACCAATGCTTATGGCAGGGTAATTAACCGCATTCCGGCTTCTAATCCTGTCTTTCAATACCAATTCTTACTGTGTCTTTGATTTGTTTCATTGATGCGAAAATGAACGAAAAGCAGAGAAATCGGAATCCCATATTTTAAATTTTTTTATTGTTCTGATACAGACATAGAAGATGATTAGAAGTGTTGCTTTTGATAAAGTTATTGTTATTTTATTTTATATACTCCATATTCATATTTGAACAGTCCTCCACTCTTCTTTTTTCTCAATTGCTTTGCAGAATTCAGTGTTAAAACTTCTAGTGTTTAAATTTCAACAATTTTAATTTCTGAATTAATTTTTTTTTCTTTTTAAATGTTGGGGGATGGTGAAACAGATTGAGGGATTACAAGTTGAATTGAACGTATCACAGTGCTATGATTTTATTGAGAATTGTTGCGACTTTCTGTTGAAGCGTCTTTCTGTTATGCAAAAACAGAGGTATTGCTGGCTATATTGCTCTTTTGTCCTTGAACTTCTTTGACTTATAACCAGATAATTTGTTTTTATTAATCTGATTGAAACAATAATTACCAAATGTCTTCACTTCATTCCTATGCATACAGAGGATGCCCCGAGGACTGTAGGGAAGCTGTATCGTCCCTAATGTTTGCAGCCGCACGGTTTTCTGATTTGCCAGAGTTACGTGATCTCAGGAATATTTTTCATGAGAGATATGGGAATTCTTTGGAATTTTTTGTCAATCAGCTGGTAAATCTCTGTCAATTCACTCCAAATAGATACTACTTAATAATTCATTGTAGCATTCATTTTTCCGATTATTTTTTCATGGTAGTTTGTTGAGATTTTAGCCTCAAAACCTTCTACATCAGAGAAGAAAGCCATGTTAATGCAAGAAATAGCATTAGAATTTTCAATAAAATGGGACTGCAGGGCCTTTGAGCAAAGGATTTCCAAACCGGCTGCATTTGCTGAGGTATTTCCATTTTTATGTTTGATTTTCACATTTTTTGCATTCTCATTGAGATTATGTCTTTGAGGTCTTACTAAATTTAAACTCTTTCTAATTCATTGTTTTATAGGGCCAACCAAGGACTTATGGGCCTTCCCATGTCAATGATGACAAGTCTAAATCAAGTAATGGGAAGGTTGTCTATTTACAAGGAAATAAGACCAATATTTCATCTAAAGAAAAGTTTGAGGTAGTTAATATTGGGCATCGATTCAGCAGTGGCAAGGAGGATAATTGCTCAAAAAGGAATAAGCTCAACAGTCAGTCTAGACAAGAATCCTCCTTTGAGGGATTCAAACCAATAAATGGCAGGGAAGGGAGGGACAATCATGATGTATCATCATGGGGAAGAAACAAAGTTTCTGCTGGTCATCATGAAGTTTGGAATGGGAAAGAAGATATCACCTCGAGGAAAGGTAGGGCAAGTAGTTATTCTCATAGGAGAAGTATGGACAAAAATGATGGTGGAGCAAGAAATGAACTCAACCTTCAGAGGAAACAGGAGTCATTTGAGGGATACAAACCACCAAATGGCATGGAAGGGAAGGACAATCATGAAGTATTGCCATGGGGAAGAAAAGAAGCATCTGCTGCTAAGCATGAATTTTGGAATGGGAAGGAAGATATCGCCTCATCAAAAGGTAGGCTAAGCAATTCATCTCATGGGAGAATCAAGGACAGAAATGATGGTGGAGCCAAGCTGCCTGAAGTAAAGGAAAATAATGTCTATGGAATAAATGAAAAGGCAATGTTACCCCAGGTGAAGCAGCATCTGAGTCCAAGCCATGCAGGACTAAATTTAAAGAGTCATGATAAAGATCTATTAGCGGATGATAGCCATGGTATGGGTGATACAACAAGAAGCGTTCGGGAGGATACACCTCACTTAAAGCCATATTACAATGGCATCCTTCCTCCTCCTTACATTAAACCAAACACTAAATTGAAAGATAGCAACCATGATGCCAGGCTAAGTATAGGATCTTCAAGTGCTGGTTTGGACAATGAAATAGTTTCAAAAGATCCTTCTAAACATCACAAAGCCTTTGCAGGTAACAGGTCAGATAAGAACCAAGAAGGGTTGGATCATCCTCATGATAAGAGGTCAAAATTTTCACCTGCAAGAGTGGATAGTCATGGCGATGAGAAGGATTATTATTATCAGAATGGTGGTATTGATAACGCCATTCCAAAACCAAGATCCAATAGGAGGAGGCATCATGTAAAATCGTCTAGGAAAGATGATTTTGACAATGATGAACATGCAGGAGCTGCAAGGAGAAGATCCAGAGGCAGAGAGGACGACTCCAGCCGAGGCTTGCAAGTCTTGTTTGATTATCAGCAGCATAAGATTGATGAAGAGGAAAGGGTATTAGACGAACTGTTGATACATTATAGTAAAAGCCCATCATCCTATGAAGAAGGAAAGGTAAGAAGAAAGCAGTCAAGAAGTCGCCGTGCGCATCATCATTTGGGCACCGAGGCAGGTGAAACCCCATCAAACGTAAGCAGAGATGGATCTGTTGAAAAGTCTGAGATTCCTTGTCCGGTTCGATCAATATCCCTTCCTTGTGAACAAACAACTCAACCACAAGCAAAAGTGTTTGCCCGTGCTGCGTCTTTTCAGCCACAAAGGTCAAACGCGGAACGGCATGTGCATCCAAATTTACCAGATTATGATGACTTAGCTGCCCAACTTGCAGCACTCAGGGGGAGGTGAAGGATTTGAAATGAGCAGTTTTCTATAGTTTTATCTCATCACTGCATAAGTTCTATACTTCTTGCATATGCTTCCCCGACTTGGTTCGGACGGAGCACTACATCAAATGAAACATGATTCATCAAAAGGAAGGATGCGGACATTGCCCCAAGCTGGCCTTGCTATTCTTAAGTAATTTTGAGTGTTCTCTTGTGTGCGTCTACATTTGGCATTGTTGTCATGCCATGCATACCTGTTGATTCAATTTCTTGCAACAAGTTGTATCTGTGCATGTAGCTTCAAACCATACAGAGTTCTGCGTTGATAGATGGAAATTATGATTCAAGAAAGTTTCTATCAATTCTTTGAGATTTTTTTTTTCATAGGCAGTTCTGCACAACCCTTGGACTTCGAGATTTGACTGCTTCGAGATTACAGTTTAGAGTGAGAGCGACACTTGCAGGGCCTGGAACGGTTTTCGATCAGGGAAGCTATCGTGGCATCATGTTTTAAAGCTGCTATACAATGACCCTTGTAGCCTCAAAGTTTCAGAACAAATTTTTTTTAAAAAAAATCTGAGCCTCGTATTCCTCGGCGGAATGCCTCACAAGATTCCCCTTTCACTGTCAAAGGGTAGAAGTAGAACACTGTTTTCCCGCCAAAAAAAAAAAAAATCTCCCCACCATTCCTTTAATTAATTAATGACCACTTTCAGTGCAAGCACTTCAGTGCAGAGACAGACACAAATTTCACTGAGAGAGATGAAGGGGGCATCTAAGGTGATCATGGGTGCGACCCTGGTAATGGTGGTGAGCCTCGCCATTGTATTGGGTCTGATCTTGGTGCTGCTGGCTGACCTCTACTGCTCTCTCTTGCTCCGCCGTCGGAAAATGAGGAAGTCCACCTCCAACAACAACCTTCCCACCACTGTGGCTGTGGTGACAACCGTCACCAATGCTTCTTCTCCCACTCAAGAAACCCAAGAACGATCCACCAGTCCTCTTAGCAGCTTCTACGCACAGGGGGTTCTTCGTCCTCCGACAAGCCTTCTTTTCCGTATGGTTGAGCTTGACTCCACGATTCTTGAAGTTCACGCCCAAGAATCAAACCCATATCCTAAGAGGATTGGGACCCTCTCTCCTCTGTCTCCTCCGTCAACTTCCTCTGTTGCATCCCCAAACTCTGTTCCGGAAATCTCAGTCAAAATAGTCACCAGTGGTAGCACGACTTCCAACGACAAGGCTTGTGGTGGGGACGGTAGTGGGGAGCGTGGTTTATTGTACATTTCGAATCCTATCTACGACAACGACGCAGGCAGGGCAAGCACTCCGTTCGAGACGCCAGATACCTCCCCGTCACGTTTAGAAGATGGTAGTTCTTCCGACGGTGATGATGAGAATAAGATAGCCCCGCTGTCTTCTGATTGTCCCCGCTCACCCCCACTAACACCGATGAAGAAGCTCCCTGCACAGGCTTGCTCTGTTTCTCTCAGAGACGCCATAGGCACTTCGAGTAACGATTCTAACAGCAACAACCGCCTCTCCTCCGCTTCTTCTGATTCTGCATGCACTTCTCCTTCATGGTAGTCTGGGTCGAATTTCTTCCAAATTAGGCGAAAGTTGCATTTTTTTTCATCTTTTTTCTGCGTTCTATGAGATGGGTTTGTTTCTGTTTGTGAATATGGTGATGGAGATGGTAGGTGTAACAGAAAAAGGGAAAACCTGTCTTGCTTTTTCACTCCAGGCGTGAGGGACGGCTCGACCACCCAAGCCACGCCCATGCCTTGACTAAAATTTCCAACTTTCTCTTTCTCTGTTTGCTTCTTTGCAATGATGCTTTCTTGTATTCATTTGGTTGTTTGGGTGTTTAGGGAAAGGGATTTTGGCATTTTGGTTCTGTTTTTAGGGCAATGGAGAAAATGCATGTGAATTTCGAACAGACAAAAAGTACTAGAGGACTGAAGAAATAGACAAAAATAAAGGACAGAAAATTTTTATATTATACTTTCTTGAGAGAAAGAAACAAGAAGAAGAAGAAAGAAAAGAAAAAGTCTCTGTTTTAGAGGCAGAGGGGGCAGAGGCATCAAATAGGGGTTTATAAGCACTGAAAGAAGTGTCGCCTGCTGCGAGGAATTTGTCCAGATTTGGTAATGGCTGAGTCAGTCTTTGGTTTTTCCATTTTTTTAGTGAAAAAGTCTTTGGTTTTTTCGATGAGCTTTAACTAGCAAGTCTGGCAAGACAAGAAGCTACAGTTTCTGCACTCATCAAGAATTATATTAAATTAAACGTGGATTAAATATATAAGGTAAAAAGGAAGATTCTAATTTTATTAAATTTATTCCAAGGTTATAATTGAATATCTTTTTTGGTGAAATATAATTGAATATCTTTACGTTCTTGATTTTCTCCCTTCCCTCTTATCAATCATACAGAAATTATCTGTACTTCCCATTACACTAGCTTCTACAATGTCTTTACAATTAGCAGTTTTATAATTTATTATATAAATTATATATTTTATACTTATTAATAAAAAAAATTACTTTAATATCAATAATTTATTCCTTACCAATAATTATAAAATACATAGATTTCACCTTTCTATTGTCTTTATATATTTTTTGAACTTTTTGTCATGCAGGCAGCGAGTTCGAAACCTATTTAAAGAAATGAGATATACACTTTTTTAATGACATTAATTATTGAATCACAAGGGTCAAGTGTTTTTATTGTCTTTATATTATCAACAACAATTTTTAAAAGTACATCAAAAGCTTTTTTTAAGGATTAAGAGTGTTTGACTAGTAATTCAAAATATAACAAATACCATATAATTAATAATTAATAACTAATAACTAATAGTTAATTTTTTTTATAATTCAAATATCTTATTTATTTAATTAGTTTCAATTGTTAACAATTAATTTAAAATTTTTAAGCACAAAACTCCTAAATATTTAAATTTGAAGTAGGCAAGTGGAACATCACACGGGTTTGAATTCAAAAGGAATATCTGTTCTGAACAAGGCAAAATATCCATGGTAGAAGTCGCCAGATGGGAGTTTAATTGGACAATAAGAAGACTAAGAATATGTTTAGTTTAAAAGAAAATAAAAAAAAGTAAATTTTTTTATCAATTAAATTGTAACATTCACCAATGTTACAATTGAATTGATAAAAAACCTACCTCTCCTCTCCCCTCTTTTGTTTTTCACAAACTAAATATATTCTAAGAGCCTGTTTGGTTTCTTCTAAAATAAAAAACTTATACCAGGGAAGCTGGTGAGCCATGTTTGTCGGCTTAGATCAAGATTTCGAACATGAAAATCAAGATCCCTTACAATTGATTACAATGACTGAAAAAGTGATTAAAAATACTACAAAACCAAGTAGTCTATTATATTACAATATAATCGATAACAAAGCCATAGAGTTTTTCTTCAACTAGAATCAATATCTGAGCATGGTAATCAATTATAAGCATTATAATATTATTTCAGGCATTCATTTTCCCAACACATACTTCAATACTTGAGCCTAGAAACATAGCTTAAATGGCTTGGCTTCCCAAAAATTTGTTTATGAAAAAGCTGTGAACCAAACACACCCTAACGATTTTCTAGTTTGGAACCAAGCCTAAAGGTCTATAGGGTGGGTGGAAGGAGTACTGCTTAATTTCCTTTCATTTGGCCAAGGTTCAAGACTCTTTCTTAGGGCCATTCCTCCTCCCCATTTTTCAAAAATTATATTAGTTCAAAAAAAAAAAAGAAAAAAGAAAAAAGATTTTGTAGCTTGAATTCCGACAACTCAAGCTATAAATTGAAGGCTCCCACGCTACTTCTAGCAAGCTTGCCATCTAGACAAATCAGAACTACATTTCATTACAATGTTCTACGACATGCTTGGTAGAGTTTATAATCTTTCACATTTTGGCAAGAGAAAAATTCCTCCATCACTGCCCCGCCTTGTGTCTAGGAACCCTAGGAATTGGGGCATTTTAAGCATAATTTTGTTTCTACAAGTAGTCATTTCTTTACATTTCTGCTAGTTGCTTTGTGCAAATTTACTATAGTTTCTTCTAGCACATGTTATTTCTGCCTGCAGGGGTTTCTTTGGATCTGCTAGCTTAGCTTAAGTTTGCATCTGTCCCTGCAAGTAGTTGCCCTTTACATTTCTGCCAGTTTTCTTTTAATTCGTGTTGACGTTTCTTGTCGTTCATTAGATTAGTAAATTTGTCCTAGATTTAACAACCTTGATGTGCATCCAAGGCAATTTTATAGAACATTTTACTGCAGGAAGGTCATATTTGTTCCTGCAACAATCGTCTAATAGAAGTGCATGTCTATCTTTCAGTTGGTGTTCTTCAATCCTTTCTTACTTTGCAACAAAGTAAGTGACACGTCTGAATATCTACCACAAGTTGGGGATTGTTGAGGAAACTCATTGTGTTTATTATAGGCTACAATTAAGATGTAAAAGGTAAGCATTGTAAGCATAAAAAAAGGGTAAGCAAGCATTGTGTAACCAGATGTAAATATTTTTCTAAAAACGAGTCCCTTGTTTCACAATTTGGTGACCAGATTGCAAAACAGGAGTCATTGGATGAAGAGGACCCATCCCATCCAATGATAAGTGTTATGTAGTATTTTTCCTTAAAGAAAATGAAATCACTTGCCCTGTACTTTTTGTTCATTTCTCAGTTCTATAATAACGTCTTGCACATAACTAACATGTAAACCTTTTGAAAGTGATTATAGAGCTTTTGCATTGACAAGTTACATTCTAGATACAGCAGATAAGATATTCATGGAACTGGATTTGGTCACAACAGCAGCTTACTTACTCTTCAACTTTTTGAACCTGCAATTAGTAAGAAGCTTTCAAACACAGAAATGAATTTTTTTTTTTTTTTCTGAAGATGTTCTGCAAGGTACAAATCTTTACCAAATTTGTTCAGAAGGAGATTGATAGATCACAAGACATGGAAACATCAATAAAATTACATACATGTAAATTGGCAGAACTCGTGTATCATATCAGGTGCAACAAAATATTCTTCTTCTGCTTTCTTGTGGCCTGTTGTGCAATTTCATTCCAGTTGGACGCGAAGGGCGAGTTTTTTCCACTCTCTTTGCTGCAAAATAGGCATGTTTTCATGAGAAGAGGGAAGAAAAGAAGCTGTTAATGAATTATAGAATAATCATATGATCTCAACCTAGGACAATGAGTGTTTTGAACAGGACTTCCCAGCTTGATAGATGTAGATAGTTGCAAAAGATAAATTCAGCGTAAGAGATAGATAATATGGAGTTACCTATTTCGTAAAAAAGTTCATTGACATTGTGTGCAGTTTTTGCAGATGTTTCAAGAAAAGTCAAGCCATTTTCTTTGGCATATTGTTCACCTTCCTGCATGAAACATTAGGATTCAATTTCAACATAGAAAGAAAGAATCTCTTCACCTAAACGCAACTATGGATAGCAGTGATAGCATAGAGAGTTTGTTCTGTTTTTTGGTATGACTGTTTTTGCTCCCTCCCTCTTGTGGAAAGAAACAATGATCAAATAGAATTGCTCCTCAAGAATTTTAAAACAGTTTTGCTCTTAACAAATCAAGGCTAACAGTAAAGGAAAAAACAAAAAAAGAAAAAACAATTTATGCTGCGTTTCAAGGGAACCTCCTTAAAAGCTCCCAATGCATAGAATGTCTTTCACAACAATTATTCAATGATAATTTTTCCCCAGATATCTCATTGCAATAATCAACCCAACAAATGATTGATGAATGGTGAGCCCTATGATTCAATTCTCAAACCACAAACCAAAAGGGAGTGGAGGAAGGGAAGAAGAAATAGAAACCAAAATAAATAAATAAAACAAAGAATATCAGCCTGCAGAATACCTCAGATCCCACTTTTCGCTTCTCTTCCAAGTCAACCTTGTTAGCCACCAAGAACATTATCAAATTTGCATTTCCTGAGCCAGCGAAACTAGAATTTTAGATAATATGTTAAGGAGCATGGAACGTGTTTGATTTATTAGTTAAATACCCAACAATCATCATCATAACACAAAGAAGGAAGCACTTATAACTTTCCTACCAATCTGATTTAAATTCTCAAGTTTCACATATATTCCCTTTTGCAGTTAAGAGATCAAACTCTAGAGCCAGGAGATGATATCAGAACTCAGAATTCAGATCTCAATCAAAAGGCCAGTCAAAATTGGTAGTCATTTAAAGGTGTCCTATCAATGGACAAAAACCTTCAATAAACTTTGACAAACTGGACCAGAGGAAATCTAGCATCATCATTTACAATGCAGATATATTGGATCCTTTAGTAATCTTAAAAGATGGCAACATATCCTAATTTTAAAAGAAAAGGGCATAGTAAAGGTCTACTAGGCAACGGTGATCAAAGACCTGTATTATTTTTGGGGTACAAAGACAATATTGTTTGATCTCTATTGAATGTCCAATATATAATGGGGGAACGGATAATAAGTGACGGGAAAGCTGTAAATCATTTGTTGTTTACCTTGTCTCTGCACTTCTTGAACCCATTTTTTGGCTCGCTGAAATGAATCCTGAGAAATCAGCCAGTGGATTCTTAATTAAAAGACCATAATGCCAGTGCTACCGCAGAAGAAATGATGAATGAAGTATGTTCTCATAATCTTGAAAAGATAAATGCAAATATTACTATCAGCATCATTGAATTTGTTGGGACGACATACCACCTAGCGGGTGACATTGAATTGCTCATTTTGTTTTGACACCACATTGAAAAAAAAAGGGTTAACTTTAGAGTTTCATGGCTAATCACATATTTAGACCACTCTTTTCTTCTATATTTGTTCGATGTGGGATCCTAGTGTGAGTGCATTTTTATTTTAATATACATACATGAAATGATTCCTTTTTTTATTTTTTTGACATACATACATGACATGGTCCATGGGTAACGGCACTAACTGTGATACCCGTTGGCATACTATTTGTATGCCTAGCGGCGTGACATTGACTAACCCATTATATGTTTTGATATCACATTAAAACCAAAAAACTATTTTAGTAGTTTTATGAGTTTTCACATATTTAAAACCACTCTTTCATTTTACATTTTTTTATGTGATATCTTAATTCTTCGTACTCACAAGGAAAACATACTTTAACAGAATTCCATGTTCACCCATCAACTAATAGCTCACTAAAATTTTTAAACTGTCACTTTTGACAATCTTTTAGAAGAAACCCTTAACAAACAAGTTGGAAACAACCCTAATGCAGCTATTAACGGGAAAATAAATCAGATATAATTAATTAATTATCTATATGAACATTCTCCAAGTCAGAGTAATCAACCATTTAATTCAGAGATCCACTTATACAATTCAATCAGTATTTAAACGAACTTTTGGAAAGGTAGGAACTAATAAAGATAAGAAACTCCAAAAAAAGTTACCATGCTTGTGATGTCATAAACAACAACAGCTGCAGCTGCTCCACGGTAGTACATAGGAGCCAAGCTGTGGTATCGTTCCTGTCCTGCAGTGTCCCATATATCAAACTTTATGGTGGCTTCATTCAATGTCAAAACCTGTGTGAAGAAGGCTGCTCCAATTGTTGATTCCTATGGTTTTCCACATTATGTTAGATGACACAAACCTAAGAATGTGTAAAGAAGCAACAATAAAGAAATGTTAAGTAGAAAAAATTGAAAAACCTGGTAATCAAAGAATTGGCCTTTGACAAATCGCAAAACTAAACTTGTTTTCCCAGCTCCCATGTCCCCTAGAATTACCTGGGAAAAGTTATGTCAATAACATCTCTTCTAACAACCATGAATGATTATTAAGAAATAAGAAGAAAACCGGTAAAGAGTAATTAATCCTAAAGAAAGGACAACAGGTTGAAGCATTAAATTGTTGAGCCTACATATAGAACACATAGGAATTGGGTTCTTATTATGAGAACAGACACAACTTGGGAAATAAGAAGCTTACTCCCTCTCAAGGGATAAAATCAGATCAAATTACATCAAACCAACCATGACACGCACAAAATAGACACAGAATATTTGGACTACCTCTAATAATGAGATATCAAACTAACAGAAACCATTGCCCAAACAAAAACAACTAAAACATACCAATCACAAGGTTCAAAAGCTCATAAGTTAATCAAACTAACAGATGAATGGCTAATAAAATATAAAATTGGTTGAAAAGGGCCTTTTTCTTTCCCTTTTCAGACGTCTGTTCTGCTTCCCTCTGCATCAAAGCCTATGTATATATATCATAGATGGGGTGATGAATACATATAGCACGGCCAAAAAATTACACTGGAAATCAATCAATATTTTCAATCACAACAAAACAGATTATAACATAGTAATTTCGTGTCAAACACGTGATGTGCATCACAGGATTAAAACCCAATTTCCATCTACACAAAAGACTTGATCTCCATGAATTACAATCATCCAATTTCATGTCAAACAAGCAGTAAAAACCCATTAAAGGCAGAAAACTAAAAAAAGGAAAACATACCCACCAGCTTGGCTTGTATGTTCTTATTGTTCCTATTGCTGGTTCTCGCCATTACCAATGGATCAAAACTCAGACAGAAATTAGAAAGATCTCAGAGCTTCAAAGAGAAACCGAAATTGAATTGTCAAGTGAAAGCAAAACCAGGAATTAAGGCAACCGAGAAAATCTCAGAAGATAATGTGAAGAAAATTGATAGTTCCAGGAGCACGCTTGTTGTTTCCAAGGAACCACCGGATCGTACAAGGGCAAGACTCATGGAAGGAGTGGGAATTGGAGTGGAAATAGCATTTCCATGGACTGTTAGTTCGTAGTTGACTGGTAAGTTAGTTAGGATCCAGCTGTCTATTCGTTTCGCTTTACTCTTATCTTTCACGGAATATTGGTGTTTTCCAGCATTTTAATACTGTTTAACATTTTTTGCAATAAAAATAATATAATAAATATAATATGTGTAATATTATAAATTTATAATATAATAATAAATTATTTATATAATAAAAAATTTTCACTTAAGATTTATTTTATTATGTATATAAATTTATTTAATTAGATGATATATTTAAAAATTTATAATTATATATAATATTATAATTATAATATTGCAGGTTAATATAGTAACTCTCATTTACCCTTTACTTTTTGTACTTTAAATAATGTTTATTTGAATGAGAATTGAAATTGTTTTTTGATCACATAAAACTTATTATGTATTAACAGTAAACAAGTTCAATTATTATTTCTTACTACTATATTGAAACATATATATCTAAAATTACTTGTAAAATAATTTGGAGTTAATTATGGCAGTTGAACTCTTTTGTATTTTAATTGGTCATCATGGGTTTTGAATACCCTAGATTTAGATGATGTATCTTCCTTTTGATTAATGTTTACATATTATTCATAATTGATAGTTAATATTTAATTGATAATTATTATTATTTATAATTTAGTATTTTATTAATTTATTTTTAATAGAGTTAAATTTTTTATTTAATAAAATAAGGATGTACATAACAATTTATAAATAAAATTTTATATTTATCGTTAATTTAGTACCAATTAAATACATTTTTTATTTAATAGTATATATTATAAGTATTTTTTATATAATAATAAAATAAAAATAAAAATATTAAATAATATTTTTTTAAAAGTAAATAATTAAATTTAAATTCTCTAAATTA